GCAGCAGTTCAATTTTTTCCCCACACAACTGACAGAAATTACAGAGTCCCCACATAGCTATTCATATCCCAATGGGGTAACCTTAAAAACCTTTAAGTGTCCAGTTACTATTTCATCACCGTGATCAGCTTCATCTGAGGAATTAATATGAAATGCATGTTGTTACCAGAAAAAAAAAAGAATAGCACTTCAGAACTGAAGAGGTCACTGCTATTGGTAACTCTACAATGGTATTTATTTATTTGATAGTTTTTATCCTTAGGGTCTTACCACAAAAGCAAAAAGAAGTTTCAGCAAAAGCACACAGGCATTTGTTTCAGGCTTGTTTTCAAAAACCTTCCTGACAAGCAGTACACTTTGCTTCTAAAAACCATCATTCATCATTCCTTGTTCAAACAAAACTGTTTACAGAATTTGCTAAGCATTCTTCTCTGAGTAAACAACTCTAAACTGAATAGTCTGGATGTCTGAAATAGAATTATGTTCAGTGAATTTTATAGGAGTTGATTATATTTCAAAATGTATGCATTCAGTGAACAAACAGCTTAAATCAAAAGTGTGCTATGGTTACGGAAACAAATGCAATACATTTTCCGAGGATTTTAAGTAACATTTTCAGGTTTTAAAGTATACAGATTTCTACCTAACTCTAACTTTTTGATGTTTAAATAAAAAAGACATACAGCACATTCACAAAAATCCTGAAATCTTCAACTGAACTTCTGTTAAAATGAACGCAGCATCAGAAATTATGCTTAGTGTTACCTTTCACAACAGTAGGAACGATGTAAAGTGATGCCTCCTGGCCTGCTTTCTCTCCATCCAGAGGGAATGTCTTCATTAGCACTACACGCTTCCCTAGCACATTGCATTAAAATGGAAACATTAACCAACATAATTAAATAAATACATAAAAACAGTCTAGAGACAGTTAACTGGATGCCTATCAGACCAATCCTTCCTAATTTCTAGGAAGAAAAAGGGCATATTACTAGCTAAAATCTAAATCAAGCCAAGAACATCTAAATAAATACACAAAATAAAGAACACCAATACGTACATAGTCATTAGCCTGAAAAATGACAGCACTGTACACCTTTTTTCACAACAACTTTTCCCTGCTCCTGATTATTCAGGTTGCTCTCACCTCTCAAAACCACCAATCTTTAAGTTAAAGAAGATTCCTTCTGAAATGGGAAAGCACAGCTGCATGCCGTATTTCATGTTAGGATGATCCATGTAGTGGTAGGACAGTATTTTCCATGCTGTCCTCCCATCTACCCTTACAGAATCTAGCATTTTTGTTTGCTTTTCTGACCACAGCTGCATATTTTAGCAGGGGCTACACTAAACTGTGCATATTAATGCCTCCGTCCTGTGTGAGTCAGTTCAAAACTGTGGTATGAAACAGTTTTGCCTTTGTTAGGAAGCATGTATTAATGCTATTAAGTTATGTTTCCTGCCTCACTAATTTTGTTAGGTCCAGTTACTACCATCTGCAGCATTTTACCATGCAACCACCTATTCCTTTTCTAAGCACTGTACTGTCTTGTTTGGCCTGACAACCTTCCCAGTGTAACCTTGCTTACAAAACAAAGAGGAGATACACAAGAAGAAAAGTGCTTTAGTCAGTACAGTTTATACCAGTTTGGAAATGAAATAAGCTGAGTAAACCAATTTTTGTCAGCACAAATACAAGGTCACTTGCTGGACCAGCTACATCACAGTAATGAAAAAAAAAACAACCAGCATACTCATCAAGTTATGTATGTAACCAATGCAGTTATGCCATATGTACATTCACATAGATACTTTTAACAATGCTGGCATTGAACAGACTTTGTAAGTAATCAATTCGCTATTTGGAATTTTAGCTGAAATTAAGGTTAGAAAAGCTACTTCAATCTGGTTTGCCAGAAATTTAATTCACAATTTGAGATGAAAAAGCAGTATGGACAGGAAAATATTCATTTGAGAATCTTTTAGTAAGCATTTTACAGAGATGGAAGGTAAAGAGAAACTATGGCTAATTAAAAGCTGTGTGGCTTGGGTGTTTTTTTATGAACTCAAAGCAGACCTTCTCTTTTAAACTAACATCACGCTCTCTGACAATCTCCCCACACCCTGTTTAAATTTTAAACTATTTTACAGAGCTATTGACAGCAAATCAGATTAAAATATTTTTACCTTTAATACCCTGATTGGCTGGTGAAATTGGTTTGGTGGCTTCCAGGACATAATCCAAGATGCTCTGGGTTATTTCAGTGCCGCCCTGCAGCTTAGTTTCCAATAAAACTTTCTTTCTCTTTTTTTTTTGACCTTCAATGGGAACCTCGAGCAACAAAATCTTTCAAACAATAATAAAACAAAAGGACAACTTAGACAAGTACAGAACAACTCCGTGCCTATGCGTGTATTTATCATACCACTATAAAAGCAGTAATATAACTCAGGAAGTACTGAATCTGGAGCAGCAGGAGGGCAAAGTCAGAACAACCTCCTTAACACTAAGGCTAAAGACAAAAAGACAAGGCTGCACCCTTGCACTGAGCAGTGCACAGGGCAAAAGGCCCTGAAATGAAATAAAACATCAAAATTACAAACTGTAAAGTGTTCAAATATTCTAATGATAAGGCAACACATAGCAGATATATGACATGTATGTCATATCCTATTGTCAGATTTTCTTTTAAGCTGTATTATTATACACTTATTATTACATATTATTTTTAAAACGTCATTGAAGAAAAATATTAAATAATGTTACTTCATAGGATTTAGCTCGATATTCCCGAGAATTCAGGCTTGCAGTATTTTTTGGACGAATCACTGCAACGTATGCATTCCCGATGGTTTCTGGATTTCCCATCTCTTCTTTTTTTTTTTTAGTTGTTATTTTATCCCTAGAAATAATGAATAAATAGGATGATTCAGTTAAAAATAAAAACAAAAATAAATCCAACAACATGCTAACTCCAGGACACAGTAATTATGCGTACTGATTCTTTGTGTTTCTCATTAATTGTACTTTAACTGGAAAAACACCAATGGTTTTCGTAGTTCTGCCTCCTGTTCATTAAGCAATAACATAGACATGAGTAAAAGAATGGGGAACATCATATAGATTTAATATGAAAAATCTTCTTGTCTAAATTTCTTTTACAGTAAAACTGTTTTTTTCAGTTTGTAAATATCTTCCCATTTTACAAGGCAGACGAAAAGCTGAAGCAATTCAGCTATGTGAAACTGAAAAATAAAACCTCTAAAGTTACAAGCATATCAATTGGGAATGGTGCTATTAGAAAGTATTGCATTTCTATCAGTTCAAGAAAAACTCTGATTTTCCTTTTTTCCCCTCCCAATAAGTAGTCTTGCCTACAACCCAAGTAACAGAACAGACAAAAATAAGCTATAATACGGACTTTTTTTTTTTCTTTAGTTCGGCAGAATTGTAAACTCGGCACAATTCATTCAAACAGCTTCTAGAAGGAATAAGTTGCCGGCTTGATTTCACAGAATATTTGGTAACTCCCTTTCATTCACATGCTGTTTGCAGATTAATCCATTCACGAAGATTTGTAATTGTACCGTTTTACATTCTTCACCTTTTTAGGAGGAACAGAGGTCTTCAGATTTCCATGCTTTTACTCCAGTATTTTTGTCGGGACCAGACTACCTGAAAATATATTTAAAAAAAATTAAATAAAAGCACACGCACGCTTGCACCTCCAGCTAACACAACTGCATCACCTAGGTGACGTAATGACAGCACTTACAAAGTATATCAGAATGAAAATATCTAAATATAAATTGGAATTATAGCATCCTCTAGTAACGTCAAATAAGCAGTACAGTAACTTGTGAGATGTAAAAGAAGAAGAAAGACCCATCCTTTAGAAGCACGATACGTGCCGCAGGATTCTCAGGGTTTAGGGCAGGACCAGGGGCAGGTGAAGCAGCGCGGGGTGAATTCTGAAAGGCTCTGCGCTCTGCTCAGAGGGAGGACGGCGACTCCAGGAAACAAATGGCTCTGAGAGCTGCCACGTGACTTCAGAAAACAAAAAAGGGAGGACGAAAAGGGTGGGGTTGCGAGGATGCGACAATAAAATTGACCACTTCCAGAATGCGCCGCCAGTGATCCCACCCGGACCGTGAGGCGGTAAGGGGTACCGCTGCCGGCAGGCAGGCGCAGCTCAGGGAAACGCGTTTCAACCCGCTCCCCGGGAACTGAAGGCCCTTCATCGCACCCGGCCTGGGCTCCGGGCTTCGCTTTCGTCTCTCAAAGGAAGAGGCCGACGCGCGCCCGCAGGTGGCTGCGGCTGAGCCGCGAGCAGCTGAGCCAGCGCTACTTCCTTTCCAACACGGAGCAGCGTGATGCACTCGCTGTAGCTTCAGCTCGTATCTACCGCTGCCTCCATCTCCCAGATTCTAATGCCCATCTGTTCCAGGCTCCAGACCAGCGCCGAAACGTGCCGGAGCCTCCCTCAGCCACCCCCGGGTCCGGACACCGCGAGGACCTCGCCGTCCTCAGCGGGGCGGGACGCAGAAGAGGCCCCGCGCCGGCCGCATTACGGCCAGAACCCGCCCCGCCCGCTCCATCCCGACCCCTTTTCGTTCCCTTGCCTTCCTCGGCGCCGCTGACCGCCGCCTCATCGTCCCGCCGCGGCCGGCGCCCACAGGCCCCGCGCCGGATAGCCCGCTCCGCCCCGGCTCCGCCCCGCGCCCTCCCCCGGCTCGGCGATTCGCTTCCCGTCGGAGCCCCGCGGGCCGCGGCCGCCGATGAGTTTCCGGGTCGGCGGCCTGAACTTCTGCCGCCGCTGCCGATCGCTGACCGCGGTTGGAGAGAGGGAGGAGAGGAGCGGGCTGGGGCCGTGAGGCGCCGCCGCCGCCTTGCGGGCGGGTGCTGAGGGGAAGCGCCGCGCGGGGCCGGGCCTCGCCGCCCGCGGCTGTCAGCGCCGCCGCGAACAAAGGGACGGCCGCAGCCGCAGCGGTCCGCCAGCGCGTAGCGAGGTGCGCCGTCGGCTGTCAGCCCCGCCACCCGGCCCAGGCGAGAGAGCGCTCCAGAGACTGCCGAGCGTGGGGCAGAGCGGGGAAAGAGAGAGAGAGAGAGGAGCGTCCGCCGAGCGGATGGAGGCGCGGCGTGCCGAGCGCCGAAGGGCCGGGGAGAGCCCCTGTGAACAGCGGTGAGTACCCCGCCGTGCTGCCGCCGTCCCGGCGCCGCCCGGGAGCAGCGCGGGGCGGGCGGGGACGGGACGGCCGCGGGCACAGCTGCGAGACCGCGCGCGTCGGGGCGGCGGCGCTCCGCATCCCGGGCGGGGCGGGGCCGGGGTCTCCGGCGCTCCGCGGCGTCCTCGGCGCGGTGAGAACGAGAGGCGGCGCCGGCAGCTCTGGGCCGGGGTTGAGAGGAAGCGCCTTGGCGGAGGGGCGGCGGGAGCCCCCCGGGGTGCGGGCGCCCGGCAGAGCTGCGGGCGAGGGGCCGCGCTGCGGGGCTCCCCCGGAAAGTTGGGCCGCTTCGGTCGGGCCTCCCGTCGGGCTTTCCGTACGGAAGGAAGAGCGTCGGGAGCGGCAGCGGGCGGTGAGTCCCGGCTGGATGGCTCCGTGCCGCGCTCGGCGCTGCGGTCGTTACGCGGCCTTTCCGGAACGAAAGCGAACGCGCACCGTCTCACGGTCTCGTTTTTCTTTTTCCCGAGAAAAGCATTGAGCCCTGATAGGGTCAGCGTAGCTCGTGTATGTCGGTAGCGGGATCGCGCTCTCAGGCGTGTCAGAGTGCGCACTAGAAATCCAGTAGCTTCTGAAAACTGAGCGCAGCACCAGCTGTCCTTTTTTCGGAGAGCAAACACCGTGCGAGGTCCCGAAACAGCACCGACTCCCCAGAAAGTGCTCTGCAGAGTGAGGTGGTCTCCTGAGACCTGTATTTTGCTCATGGCCTCTCCTTCCTTACCGAAACGTGGCGCTTTGGTTGTAGGCAAGCATCAGGTGTACTGATACTGATGTACTGAAATTCAGATACGCTTTCTAAAAAGAGAGGCTGCTTTGGAGAAACTTATTTGGCTGCAGAGCTTAGCGATGAGGAGAGACTAAAAGGGAAGAGTCTTGCACATCTGGGGGTTTTATCTGTGCTTCTCCATATCTTTGAGTGTGAAGCATGGTCCATTCACTTTTAGATGCAGGGGAAAGTAGGAAATACTCTTCTTCACCCAAAAGAAAGAAGCTCTGTTCTTACAGAAAGTGAGGTCGTTTTTCAGTTCCTAACATTTGTCTTATTTCCTTGACGTGTATGCAGAAGTGGTGGCATTTACAGCCAGATGTCTTTTTAATTTTTTTTTTTGTGGTTGTGGAATGCATAATTGGCATGAAGAGTTCCAAAACTTTCAGTAATTCTGAACTCAAGCAAGTTCCACGTGTAACAAACCTTAGTTTAGTCTTAAAAGAATAAAATATTTTAGTAATGTATTATGCCTGAATAGAAGTATTACTAGAAACATACTGGCATAAATAAGCCGACTGATGTTGCTGATGCCCTTTCTTTATATATGCACTGAAGTGCTATTATGAATGGAAATTAATTTAAAAACAACAACAACAACAAAAAACAGCAGTGGCACTATACATATGTAGCATCAGTAGCCAAAAGGGGGATGGGGGAAAGCAAGGTGTAAGTTTTACAGAGCCCTTTTTCTGTTTTTCCCCTGGTGTGCCATACACATCTAGATAGGGTGAGGTAAGTACACACATCACTATCTGCTGAGGCTTTTTGGAGGAACTTGGAGCTTCTTAGGCACGTATGCTGTGTGCCAGTTTACATGTATCTGCTTGTTAGAGCTTTGTGTCAGGATTGACACCTCTGCTGTGATTGATTAGCACAGAATTGGCTTTTTGTTTCAGTAATAGAGCTTTGTTAGTTTTTGGTGTGGCCATTTGCAATGATTTTTATTTTTTTCCCCCAGTTATTTTCTTTGTTCTGTGATGGATTTTTTTCATGTTTTTGCTTTGCTGCTTAGGTATCATACCATCTCCATTACCTGAATGATTAATGAACTTCCCACTCAAATCTGAATTCTTGAAGTTGCTTTCTGGTGTTGTCCTTGTTGGAACTTTGTTACCTCTGATAAGGTGACTCATGACAGTAAGCAGAAAGTTGGAAAGCCGGAGCTTCCAAATACGCGTGCCGGGCAAGTTGTGTGTCTGCTCACACTGCTGCATTTTGCAGAATTAATGTTCATACATAGTAAAAACGGATCTTTGGTCATACTGCGTTAAGAGTTGAAGCCAAAGGAGTCTATGTAGTATTTAAAAACTACTTCTTCAGAACCTCTAAGCATCTTCCAGATTTGAGATGGAACTAGTGAAAACAATCTACCATTTTCCTCAGAGGAATGTTAGTTTGACTGGCTGGTGTCAATGAAATAGTGTGCTTTGCATCACAGCCTGTGTTAATTTGCTTTTTATATGCATTTGTGAGTATATTTATGTCTTGCCTCAAAAAGTAGCCTGAGTGGAATGCTGTAACTATCAGTATAGTGATAGTTCATTATCTTCAATTAATTAGTCCAGAAATCACTGTGGAGAAAAATAGGTAATAGTCTGTTGTTCCTACAGATTACCATTCACGCCCTGTTAACAATACTGCTGCTTTGCTTTTACTCTCATGTACCTTCAGTTGTACTATGAGAAGAAAGAAGTGCAATGTAGCGGGCACCAGGTTTTCTGCTGCTGTCTGGAGGTGATCTGAGGGAGCCCTTTGTGATTCCGCACTCTCTGCCAGTATTCTTGTTTTAGTAATTGAAAGTAATTTTCTGAACTTGCAAACGTGTTGTGCATGTGAATTTGAAATTTTAAACTATTTATATCCTTTTGCAAACAAGAGAATTGCCATAAATTTTTATTATGACAAACACTTCTTTAGGCTTAAAGCACATTTTTTAGTACTCATATTGTCCTTGAATTTTCTTTAACATATCTTGCTGAAGTTGCTCAGGGGAAACTTTCATTTTTACTTATAATTTATATTTTAAAGCACATTAGTGAACGTTGAAGGACAGTTGCAGTAAAAATACAGGACCATGTTGTAAATGGGTGGCTGCAGTGCAACGTGAGGGCTAAGTGCTGACTGGGATGGCTTTCCGGAGCAGCTGCACAGCAGTGCTGTGCCACTTTCCTCAGGAGATTTTCTGATCTGCCCTTTCCTGGTGAGAAAGACAAGGGATTTTGTTCCAAACTGGCAGGAATTCTCCAAGAGTAAGTTTAAGTATTCAGTATTTATATACAATCTTCTCTACTGGGGGGAAAAAAAAAATCCCTATATTAAATTTCTTGGGGATTTTCCCCTCTTCAGTAAGAGCAAAAAATAGATTTTCAATTTTGATATGTACTTTGTGAAAATAACACTCTAAAAACATACAAGTAAATGAACCAAATAGACTCCTGGAAGATGTACAGTCACCAAAAATTCTGTGGAGTAAAGACTCAAGTGGTAGCCAAATGGTGTATATTCGTTTCAGAGGAGTATATTTAAGCTGCTGAAAACCACTTATTCTTTGCTTTATAATAAGGGCTGCATCAGAAGTACAGTCTGGGCAGTTCTGACTCACTGTGGTGTTTTGTGTAAGTCCTGAGTTTGCTGGAACGATCTGAAATAGTACATTTGTATTCACTGCTGGTGGTTAAGTGCAATGGCATAATAACTTTCTCATTTTAGTATTCTGAAATAAAGGATAGTTTTTTGTAGAGGAGAAGACCTAACACAACTGATTTCTGGACCATCTGCAAGAGTGTGTGATGAAAGTTGGTTAAACAGTCTCAACTTTTGGTAACTGGATAATAAGCTTTGAAAACTGAAATGAGTTGTTTTGCTATCAGAGCAGTTGGCTGTGGCTTCCTTTCTTGTTTAAGCAACACAGTAAATCACTGCTTGGATGCCTCCTACATTAAGAAATGTTTGTAATTCTGAACTGATTTTCTGAAATGTGAAGTAAGTTCTTACATGTCTTTTTTCAGAAGCCAGTGTAAGAGATAGGAAGATAATAAATACGTATTAAAGAACAAGTCTATTGTTTGTTTTCAAGTTCTGGATTACCGAGAAGTACTGTAATACTTATGTAGGCAGTATTTTTTCTTCTTAATGTAATGCCTTTAAAACGGTTAATTTTTTTTTTTTTTGTTATTGCTCTTCCGTACAACATTTCTGCCATTCTCAGAGCACCTCTCTGTGTTGCTGTGATGTTTCTCCTCTGCTTCTTTGTATCATCTCTTTTTCATAGAGAATTGAAGGCTGTGTAAAGCAGAACGTCACTTGGTTTTGACTTGATGTAGACTTTGACAATTGATGTCACCTAGAGGTAATGTGTGAGATAGCCATAATCATTCTTTTACCACTTCTCAGTTGGGTTAAGTGTGAAAATTAAGTGTAATTCTCTGATAATTATCTTAAAATCTTGACAAATGAAATGGTCCTGTAGGAGTTGGTGATCTTTTTGAGATGAAAGATGCTTTGAGAAGAATACAGTTTGGAGGCTTCAAAGCTGTTCTGGGGAAAATTAAGTTAACATATAGAATCTTAACTATGCGTATACTAATGGCATGTTTCTTGACTGTTTTGTTTTCAAAGGCAGTTAAATGTAAACCAAACTTGGCAGCTGATTCTCTGTCCCAGGTGCTTTATCTGACAATTGCTCTTCTTGGCATTTAGCATAGGAGATAATCAGTTTTTTCTAGTTCATAATTCTGCTTTCCAAACAGGCCCTGCTCATCCATATAAGAGATGCATCAAGTGGCTGGAAGAACATCATATCCTGTTTGTGTGTGGCTGATTTTTATCCTGATCTTAAATTACTGAAATGCAGGGCTGTATGTATGCTGGGACTTATTTTAAGCAGTAGCAACCTGAATGGTGTTGTAATAGAATTTTCCCCTGGAATGTTTTTTCTCCATTCCTTGTGTGTGTGGATTTCAGGATCTTTAAATCCAGGTGGCTCTGCTGTGTGTTATTTCTCAAAGCAGCTGGGAGACAAGGAAATACGTAGTCAACTCTCCATCTGCAGATTGATATGTAGAAATGTCTTGGCAGAGTAGAGCCCAGAAAATGTGTTGTTGTTCTTTCAAAATGGTGAGTTTTATTGGTACTTTTGAGAAACTGCAAAAACATACAGCTATTAAACTGAAGCCCAAAGTTCCAGCTGTGCTA